AGTATAGGAGACATGGATTCTCTAAGCGCTTCACCAAGTCACCGATGTACAGTAAGAACAAGAGTGGACCCAGTGGGACCCCACTATTAAGTTCTCCTTTGCGGGAGACTTCTCCTTCTTTCTTCACCTGGAAGCTCCGAATATTTAGGCAACTGTGTATTCATTGTTATACTTTTGAACTCAAGCCAAACAACTAGAGCGTCCGCATTGTTCGAGCTGACCGAGTCAAAGGCGTTTTGAAAGTCTAGGTAGTAGACATCCACCTCATCTCCATGGTCAATTCCATGCTTTACCCCATCAAGGAAACGCAACAAGTTGGTGATGCATGAGCGTTTCCTAATTAAGCCGTGCTGGTATGCAGTCAACATCTTGGTTACTTCCAACTGCCTGACTATTCTGTCCCGCATGATTCNCATAATATTTGATACCACCGAGGTCAAATTGACCGATCTGTAATTGGTGCAGTCCTTCCTGTTTCCCCTTTTGTAGATTTGAATGATAGTTGACATAAACCAATCACAAGAAATTCGTCATTCCTCCAGGGATGTATTGAACAGATATTCTAGCGGTTCCGCAAGCACGCCCGTCAGTGAATTCAACACCGCTGGATGCAGCTGGTCTGGACTCGAGCCCTTTGATGCCATCAGTCTTTGTAGGTGCTCTTCTATGTTCCGTGGTCCTCTGTACACGTCTGAAATTGCCAGCTGGGTGCAGTCTTGAACGGACCAACCTGGGGCTCCTAGATCCCTTCTCTGTATGGCCTGGTAGAAGTGACACAGAGTGTTGCCCTTCTCATAGTTGTTTACTACTGGCAATCCATCGCCATTTCTGAAACATCCTTCAGCCTTTGATTGCACGCAATTGAATTAGGCTTGGGGTTGGTTTTCACTGGTAGGACCAGCCTCTCATACCTCCACCGGCATGCGTTCTCCACCGCTGTTTTCCTTGCTTGTTTATAGCACAGAACTTCTCTATGCGTTTCGGTGCACCGGTATCGCCGCCAAGCTCCCTTTTCCTCTGGACCGAAAGGTGGATATTCAGCGGACAGGCACACAGGTGGGACAGCGCGAGAATTATTCTTCCTAATCTTACAACCCAAGTCGGCTGTCTTGCCTGATCAGTGTATAGAGTGAAATCGGTATTATGTATGCTACGAAATTGTATGGTTAATGATAACAAAACAATATTCACCGGTCATTTTATGGAATTGCTCACGCATGAATCAATAAAGTTGATTAGACTGCTCGTGAGGGGTGATAAAATATCCCTTCATTTCATCACAGTCCATTGATAACCTTCATTGAGAATCTGACCGAGATGACACTGGTGTACACGCAAATACTAGTTGTCCGTTCACCAATATTTCCGTTTTCTGAGATTACTCAACAGGTTACTTAAACGTTGCTATTATGTTTGTGTTCTATCAGGGACAATTTATATTCACGACGATTGATTCACCTCCCCACAATATTTGCAAGTCCAGTGACCCTAACGGAGTCTCACCCGTTGCAATAAGCGAATATCCTGCCTCCCTTTCCCTTGTATTGTGTGATCCTGCCAATAATATAGAATAGATTCAATCACCCGAATACTGAAGAAAGTCTCCTCAAAATTTCGCTCCATCGCCTGGCCTTCAGTTGTTCTGAACGTGTTTGAGAAGCTCCTGATCACAACGTTATCCACACATACAGTTCAATGTTGGTGACAGAAACCAGTTTGCACACACCCATGAAGAGGTAAACTAAAAATATACATCCTGCTAATCTATTGGTTTTGTTATGTTGCTGTACGCCTGAATTATTTAATTGAGATATTAAATTTTCAATTTTTTTTAAAATTTCTGACACACTGTGATTGTTTGGTTGCTAAATGTCCTCCCTTCAAGGTGTACAAAGCGATTCCTTGACTTGACTTTGATTAGGTTCACACAATTTCACGGTATCTGTTTGCGAAGCACTGCACCCATTGGGGATTCACGTGTGAAACAGTGGCTAGTTTCAGGTCAAGAACATTGCGATTGTTGGTCGATGATGTATGGTGCAATTGGGAGACTTGACGCAATGAAGATCTGGTCGATGTAACCGCGACCTGTTAGGAATCCTGCTTTCTGTTTGTGATTATTTATCTCCCTTGAGGGTGTCGGTCGGTGAAGCGTCACAGAAAGTAACACTTTTGCGATGATCGAAATTAAACGTATCCCGCGGTGGTTGATGCAATTGTTGCGTGATCCCTCTTTGAAGAATCATCCCAGCGTGACGCGGAAAGCTCTTCTGGGTGGATGCTGCGTAGCTAGCTGGTGATCGAGCGAGGTACCACAGTCCCCGCTACATGTTGAATGAATAAAACTTTGCCCTTTTAATTCTGATGGAGCTCACATGATACTGCCCATGGAAGTTCCACTACGATTACCCCAGTAACCACATTAGCACCAGACCAGTTGAATTGTTCACTAGAATGCTCCGTCCAGTGATCAGGTCGTCATTCCTTATTAAGAATCCTCTACCTACTTTAACTAATGGTTTCACTGACCGCTATGCGACGACCTCCGGACAGCGTATCAGTTGAAACAGTCTTCAGCTAATCACTGATGCAGAGGCTACCTTCTTTGCATTGGCTGTTTTGACCCATCAGTTTTCGCGATCTTTCGTGAACTCACATTGCAGGCAACACAGGTTCCTATGTTAGTTCTGGTAGATTGGGACCTTTCATTTTTGTTTCATCAAAATTGCTGACTAACGAGAGATCCAATATATTCCACGAACTTCCCTCACAGCCCAACAAGTAAACTTTACCGCCACATGTATTGCTTGTCTTATTCCAACCCAATGTTGGTGTACTTCACACCCTCGCAGTGTCTTCAGCTACTTAAAATAATATTTTTCCTGAAAATAAATAACCACTACAAACCATTTCAAAAATATGGATCATTCCATCATTAGAAAAACATCTGTGCATATCCAGAAGCAAGAACACTGCTTACATTTATTTATACCATCAACAAGTGGACGATTCTCCACGCTCTGTCCCCGTCGATGCAGCATTCACGGTGGATAAGGGCAAGTTGATGCGTAGTATATTATAGCTAAACGATTATCCAGGCGTTGTCTACACAAGGCCCGGCATGGATCTGTCCGATTGGTGAAGTGAATGAAAATAATAATAAAAAGTCGTAATATCTGAAAGTCTGTGCAACCAAACACCTCTAGATAGGAGAGCAAACCAACGACAGAAAATTAATTTGTTTACCCTCAATTTTACACGGGTGTTGAAAAGGGAGGGCTGTGACATCGCTTCACCCATGGGATAGAGATTTGTCTCAATTGACAGCGCTCGTTCATGATGAAACATAATACATCAAAAGCAGTGCATGACTCTGAGAATGATTGCTGCTGTCACTATGCATCTTTTGGAAATATCCTTCCTAAAAACAAAACATTATANACATTATACATCTTTTAAGTTCACTTGCCCAATGTGTCAGTCAGCTGTAAGCAATCTCCTTTAATCCCGCTTTTTCACGTGAACTAAACTGATGAATCTCTACAAAGTATGTATCCATGTATTTAATATATGCTCTCACGTGTCATGCTCCCGACAAACACTTGTGGCTTTCTTCCATGTCTGCATGATTGGATCATCTCAGCGACTGGCTCGTAGAGATCGGAGAATGCCATCTACCTGTTCTAAGAGGACTTCAGCATCCGTAGTGTGCTTGCGTAACAAAGAGCTGACCGGTTGGGATTGGAACCTCCAGTACAATTACTCAGTTCAGAAATTACTACCTCCAAACCCATCTTTTCAATTCACACGGTAAAGAACAAAGGTTTTGATGAAAATGCGTTTCAATTCATATTTTTTGGTACATTAGAATTGTGCGTTCTCATAGTGTTATTGTCCGTCTGAATTAAAATGATAATATTGACAAATGTTACGCGTGATTCGTTTACAGTAGCTATATGAAGTGGCGCACTGTGCAGTAGATCAGAACCGGATGTTATCTGCGTGAAAGATAAACGGAATATTTATACATGATGCATCAGTTAGGGCAAGTGATCACGTGATCAAAGCAACATTGCGGTCACAACAAAGCACGACAGAGGCACATACAATCACGAACGAATGTGCATTGATATCACTGATTATGGAATTACTGAATTCCTAATGACCGCTAACTGATTACGAATATGGATCAGTATGAACAGTCGGTCACATTCACAGTTGAAGAAATCAGACAAGAGCAAATAATTCGATCCAGCCTCACAAATAACGTAAAATAAGGAATTGTAGTGAATATGCAAAACGTGAATCAGAAACTCACACAGACTGGAAATGAGTGCTAATGATAAGACGATAGCAGTGCACACACGGTTCGCTTCCTTCGAATCTGAATCAAATGAGAAATAAGCGAATGATATTTCTCCAGGTGTAGCGAGTGAAATATGATAATCACAAATATTGGTTATTAGTTTTACCAGGAATCGTTTATCTGATCCATAACCACTTCGAGGATTTTCGAAAGTGATTTGCACCTGGTATCAGCTGATTTCAACCGTCAGAGTAATACGAGAGAACACCTCTTCCAGCTCACGTACAATGAATATTTGCACGTAAATGATATAGCTTTTAATTCAAACAGATGCACATAACTTTTATTGACCCGATCCACGTTGTACAGATAACTACGGAAAGTTTGCGCATTAACACGGGTTGAGTCAATCGAAAACTACGATTTCAATGAAATCTTTTCCGTACAAGCCCATTGAGCAAACGAGGAATCATAATTATGAACTGCAATTAAGGACGGAATTTCCGAAATATTGCATTCGAGTTTCATAATGGTTCAACAGGAAGTAATCCATCCGTTCCCGATTACATAAATCATCGCGTAAATGACAAAATTGATGAGAAGAAAACAAGTGCATGTAAAAAAATTATGCGGTCTTCCAAAGGACACGATAAACGAACTACGGAAAAACGGTACTACAAAATGAAAAAGAGGGTCACTCACCTTCCTTAACCGTAGCTGTGAATGTGTTCGTGCCAGCATTGACTGCCGAGGATACCAATTTAACCTTGATCACGTTCGACAACGAAACAGGCGGCTGTGTGGGAACACTTGCACCACATTTCTTGTATGTTTGTTCGGTGAACTGACCATCAAAACTGACTTGCACATAATCATCCGTGCATTGATCACTTGTTCCCACCTAGATTCGCAATCAGAAATAGATCAACAAATGACCCATGAGACACAGGTGAAAATATCGGACTAGGTAAATGATATTGGATTGCAGGATATATTACAATGTTTAGGCAGTGAGATTGAGAGTGAAGTGATCGAATCATGGAATAACTCACGGTGAAAGCGGTGAAATCCAGTTTGTATTTCTTCCCCTCTGCACCCGTTAGGGTGTAGTCACAAGTGCCAGCGCCGGACAACGCTTTTTCCGGCACCTTCCACGGTGCACTCAACGTTGTCAAATCCACCGCCGTTTGGCCACAGTTTGGGTCCTGTGCAGGTTGATCCGGAACTGGAAAAGTGTAAAAAGACGGTTAACAGAGCGGTGCTAATGGTGTTCTCAACCCTAATTAAACGTACGTTGCATTCCCTTCCCAGTGCTAACCATCGTCACATTATGAAAGTGGTTCGGTGGGGACGAAATTATTCGTGTTTTGATCTACTCGATGAAGTGCTAAGGGTTTGAGAGACATATCCAATGGTTGACTGACAAATCGCCAAGATCCAAATCTGGCTAGATCATTGAGTTGAGTGTACGACATATTGATTTAGTAAGTTGTTAAGGTGCAGATGTGCCAATTGACAGACCATAGCGTTGTCGGTCAAACGCACAGACGTTTAAGGAGAGATGCCAATAAAAACTGACAGGCCGTATGATGGGTAACCGAGCTCACCTTCTTTTACGGTTGCCGTGAATGTGTTCGTGCCGGCTTGGTTTGCCGAGGATACCAATTTCACTTTGATCACGTTCGACGTCGATTCTGGTGGTTGTTCGGGAACACTTGTGCCACATTTCTTGTATGTTTGTTCGGTGAACTGACCATCAAAACTGACTTGCACATAATCATCCGTGCATTGATCACTTGTTCCCACCTAGATTCGCAATCAGAAATAGATAAACAAACGATCCGTATGATTTATGTGATGGAGTTGTCCAAGGTTTTACATAATCCTGACTTCTGTTATCAGCCTATTACTTCCCAATGCGTGTTTTTTGTTGTCTTTGTGCTCATATGATTTGCCGGTGAGATACGCTATGACATTTTTTCCCCGACTTTCTAAATGTACGCCAAGCCCATGCATAACACCTCAATGCTGACCGCCTGGTCTTACAATAATAACCTTAATATGAATCCGTAAAAGTGTAAAGATGTTCTTTTTTCATTAACGAATGGTGTCAAACACATTGATGCAATGAACTCCTACAACCTTTTTATTATCAATGAAGAACAGGTTTTCAGACGGTGCTCTGTCAAAACCCTCAGAGTCCCATTTCCCGTAACCTTCCTTAGTGTGCTCATGCCACCTAGATGTTACACAAAGTAAGGAAATTCAACTTTCACCTTATCCGTTTGAAAATGCTATCCATCCTTATCCATTTAATGAAGCAAGCTGTCTTCTCTTGCTTCCTGTCCCTTCGATTTCAAACATTCCCAGTTAAATTTCTCGGTCTTTCTATCAAACAATCCAAATGCGTACATTCATCCATCAAACATATATGTCGGTACAGTGGGATATCTCGTGAACGTACTGTGTATTTTATAGTTTCAAGGTTTGTCAGAAACGTTTTGCGAGGATATTGCTCGAACCATTTCATCGGCTTTGTTTACATCTTAGAAAATGTATTTCTACCACTCATTCCGAATATAAACACATAACAGCACGTTCCACAAAATGCATACAAAAATAATGTCGTATCTTAAACGGTTCTTACTAACACCGATG